GTCAACATACTCATAACACATGAACATACACAATTTACTCTTAAATTTGTATATCATGTTCCTTTCCTTTAGACATTTAGTCTTTTCATTTTTAGGCATTATTAATCATTAATAATTCATAAAAAACATATTTAACTACCTTCGGTAATCTCATGAAATTAACTCACTAATTATAAACAATATAGTCAGCCATCCTCACCTTATGAAGTGCTGAGATAGTTGCCTTTGCTAAGCCCCTCGATCAATCCCCGTTCTAGGCCGATTGAAGGTGTAGAACTGAACTGCTGGGCAAAAGCCGAGCGGCTTTCACGAAAGCCGCCCGACTTTCGTGTTCTGCAGAAACGAGCAGCTCCCTTAAAGTGGCGGTTTCCGGCGATTTCGACTCCTATCGATTCACCAACTCTCCTAAGTTAAATATCACCACTTTATATCAATATTCTACACTTTTAAACGTGTAGAACATCATGTTTAATCCTTCATATGATTTCTCACAAATCATACACTAAAAACTAGTTAAAAGAACTATTTGAATTCTTACCTTTCTTTCAACTTAGTTTCTCTTGGGTTTCCTTCCTCCTAGCTTCCTCCAACTGTGGCTGAGGTTTGTAGAAGTCAACTCCAGAGCTTCCTCTCTCTCTTGAGGTAGGCTTGTGCGGGTGAAATGGAATGTGGGGATATCTTCTCCTCAATCAATTTGAGAGATAATTAAGGGAGTAAGACAAGGGAGTTAATGGGTGGGTGTAGGCTTTGTCTCCATGAGGCTTCCTCATGCACGCCCCTCCCCCTTAATTTGTCAATCTGGGCACCTAAAAACGTGGGGTGCCCCCCCCCCTTATGTGGGAGGTCATCCCATTATGTCCCGGTATGTACAATCGACCCCGAAAGTTGTATTTTTCGGACTATTTTAGTTATATTTTATTTTATCGGGCCAAATAAAATACATCACGTGTTCCTAATAATTATGGGCCTTAGAATAGATGCACATTCCCCAACATTAATTTAGGAGTCCCCGAAACTCATTTCGGGCTGTTATCCGCTAAATTACCAGTACCGGTAATTGGGCCCCGTTTGACCAACCGGTCAACTCCATGCCTTTCTTATGACCCAAATAAAATATCCACCACCATATACATATTATCTAGACCAAGATGAATATAATATGTGGTTCGGGAATTATCGGGTGGTCCCCGTTCCCGCTGTGGGCCCCACATGCAATTTACTATTCACGTAAAAGAAATAATAAAAATTTACAATTACGCAAATTCATAAATCATCCTTCAAGGTTTATTACATAATTTACTAAAAGTAAATATGCTCGGGCTCGGTGTTACATGGTACGTTGATCCAGCGCATGTGGATGAGAGACCCTGTCGAGGAGGATACCTTCGGCTATAGATAACAGTCCAAAGGCTCTGCGCACCGGGGGTCTCATTTTGCTGAGGGCTCCTAGTGCCGAAGGCTTGGTTTTTAAGCCTCGTTCTCCTGCGATGTTTTTGAATCCTATTCTGTCATTGGTGGCCTTCGGCCATGGGGCCGAAGGCACCCCTCATGCCTTGTGGGCTGCCTAGAGCTTCACTATGCTGGGCTTAGCCCGTTTTGGGTCTGTTGGGCCTGAAAGTAATAGTGGAAGTACGTGGGCTGGGGGGGGGGGGTTCCTGGGCCATATACTCCATCATCTCATTTAAACCAATTCAAAGTACATGAGACTTCTTCCCATTCAAAGTGAGAATGAATCTTGTGCATTCATTTCCACATCTAATGGCTCAAAATGAGCCAAAAAAGCACAAAATTCGACCAAAAATGCGGTGACAATTTCGTAAATATGTTGCACTTTTTCGTTACCCGCGAAAAAGTGCAACAGAAACACGAAAAAGTGAAAGCGAAACATGCAAAAGTGCATATCTTTGCACTTTGCACGGGAAGAGGTCTTTTTATTTGAACTCTTCCCTATATATACACACACACATATATATATATACATATATATATATATATATATATATATATATATATATATATATACATATATATATATATACATATATATATACACACATATATATATATACATATACATATATATATATATACATATACATATATATATATATATACATATATATATATATATATACATATACATATATATATATATATATATATATGCATATATATATATATATATCTATATATATATACATATACATATATATATATATACATATACATATATATATATATATATATATACATATACATATATATATATATATATACATATACATATATATACATATATATATTGGGGAGGGTTCTAGTGAGAACCCCTCTTAAAATGAGAACCCGTGAGAACCCCAAGGAACCAGTGCTATTTTTGGCTGAATTTTTTTGTGTATGTTCCTCATCAAGTCTAGATCATCCATACCAAATTTGAGAAAAAAATTCAATCGGGAAGGTCGTCAAATGATTTTTGAAAGAAAATTGATCCGATATATATAACGCAGTTTTCTTTCAAAAATCATTTGACGACCTTCCCGATTGAATTTTTTGCTCAAATTTGGTATGGATGATCTAGACTTGATGAGGAACATACACAAAATTTCAGCCAAAAATACCATCGGTTCCTTGGGGTTCTCACGAGTTCTCATTTCAAGAGACTTCTCACTAGAACCCTCCTATATGTGTGTGTGTGTGTAGATATATAAACATGTCTATACTGCTCATCCTTTGATTTTTTCCAGGTAAGTTGATAAATTCGTGAAAATATATACCTGCTGGGAAGATGATGATTTCAGGGATTTGGAGCAAATTCGTGCTGATAACGTGTTGTACAACGGAAGGAAATAAGCAGAAGATCAGGGAGAGAAAGTATATGTTGAACACTTGGTGATAAAAATATTATTAATGGTGCGATAGAGGAATGATTATGGACTTATGGTGTAATCATGTTGTAATCATTACAATGGAGAAGACTCCTATTTATAGGAGAAAAGTTAAGCTTCTTACTATTAGGGAATAATAATTGTGAACTACACAATTATCATCAAAAATTATAATTATGATTTTCTAATTATTTATACAATGATGATAATAATTTTTAATCATAGTTGGAAGATGACTAATTAATGCATCGTGAATATAACTACCAGGAAATTAGAGGTGAATTAAACTCTTCTTGTAATTAATAGAGGGCAGCGGTGGGAATAAAATAAAAATACTCAACATGCATGACATAGGATAACAACATTACTCCGTATGTCACTCCAAGTAATGAGATTCAAATGTATTTTTTTATATTTTGGTCAAATGTGTAACATATATTACCTCCGTAACACAAAGATCTTCTCATTTTGACTTTTCACGGTCTTCTAAGTCGAACTTTGACTCTAAATATCTACATATTTATATTTATAAAATTCATAATAAATTAACATTCAAATAATATGTTTTACAATGAGGTATATAAAATAATTTTTTAATCATAACATAATGTGAGTTTTGAATAATTAATGGTCAAAGTTTATGAAGTTTGACCCAAAAGAGTCAAACTGGGAAGATTCTAGGGTTACGGAGGTAGTACTACGTATTGTACATTCTCCTACCTTTTTTTTGATAATACAGGTGTCGGGGCTTACGCTCTCATAATACTGAAGTCTATGAACTACCCTCCAAAGCCCCTAGACAGTTAAGTCTGGATCTGATCACAGTCAGCCTCGTCAGTACTGGCTCCAAAGGACGAATCTAGCAGGACTTACATCATCTTTCAGGTTGCTCCTCTCACCACACGAACCCGCTACCTTCATTACCATCCTCTCCCTTCTCAGCCGCTGAGCAACTCCGTGAAGGTAGGAAGAATCATTGGGAGCAAGACCTCCCTTCTCTCCCCTAAATGTGCCTAGCGAGATTCGAATCCGAGACCTCCGCTAGGACACGATAACCTTCCACCCAGTGAGCTGGAATGGTTGGTTACCTTTTCTCTAATAATGATTCAAAGTTTAAGACACATTTTATTACGGTCAAGAACTATGCTTCATTACTAGACTAGGAATAATTAAGAAAGCTTGTGTTAGATGGAGAATCACAAGTAAAAATAATTTTTTTTTATGGAAGTAAAACTGATATTAGAAATGCAATTTACATATCTAGTCTCATTGCCACAATGAAATATGCTGGACCATTCGATATCTAAAATTTATTTTATGCGATGATGTATTTTCTCATGAAAATAGACAAAAGTCAAGTTAAACTTTATCGGAATGTATTTTAGTGTATATGATGTTTTAATGTATTTTATTCAAGTTAAACTTTATCTGTAATTTGTTGGTCTGGTCCGTTTAAGTCTGGTATGATTTGGTCTGATCTGTTTAAGTCTGGTCAAGTCAGGTCTGGTCTGAACTGGTAAACGTCTGGTTTCTCTTAATTTTATAACTATGGAAATCAAGTCTGGTCTAGTCTGATCTAGGACTGAAAACAATCCAAGTAAAAACATACTTAGTTAACATCACAAGTTAGTTTATATCTTGGACGTAAATTTTATATTTAAAACATTGTCATATTTCCTTTTGGGTTACACAAATATTTACCATTTTAATCACTTAATTTGTGATTAGTGTTATTTTTCCATTCTCTGCAAAAATCTTAATTACAAAATTTTTATTTTATTATTTCGCATTAAACATTTGAATATATTTAGACCATTCTAACTATTTTCATATTTTTTACTTTTACTTTATTAAAACTTCATAAACTTCACTGCAGCCGATTCAATCAATTTGAGAGTCACTGAATTAGCTTTTACGGAGTAAATTTTTAATACTACGTATGTAAATTGTATTTAGAGGAGTATAACAATGAGAATTTTTACCAATTGTTTTAAATTCTTTGGAGATGCAGTCAATTTTAGTCTATTTTTAAAAGACAAACTAATGGGTTGAAACTTGAAAGAGTGGGGTTGGGGTTGGGTGGGGTAGCTACTGGTTAGAACTTAGAATGAAAGAAATCAAAGAATTGGAAATGGAAAGTACGAAGTACAAATGAAAAGAGACAAAAGTGGCGCAAAAGTGAGAATAGTGGAAGAAACGGAGGGGTATTCAAGCAAAACGTTAACCCAAGAATAATCGCGCTCAGTGCGCCAGATTAGGGTTCTTAGTGGCGTTGTGCACTCATCTTGTACTAAAAGGACACACTTTTCCATACTAGTTTCACCATCTTCTAGCTGGGTTATTTATCTGAGCGCCGCACTCTGATCGCCGTCAGCTTCCGCCCCCTCGATGCTTAATTTTTCTCTGAGTATAAATATGTATGTATATGCCTGGCCACAATCAGTCAGGGTTTTAATTTTGCCGTTGATTGATTGACCTGTATACAGTCCAAGATAGAGAGGTTTTAGAGCTAAGAAAAGAATATTTGCCATAATTTTATAATTTAAATATCTTACCTTTTTTTGGGTGCAGTTTGCTTAGTAATCTGTATGTGGGCTTTCTTCTTGATTCCTTGAATATGTTTATGTGACCTTTATTCCGTGTTTTGATGTTGATTGTAGTTAGAGATTTGCGTCGTTGACGGACTCTACTGTTGAGAGAGCAATTATTGGAGCTGGTTTTTTCCAAGCTGGGGACTTGGAAGAACTGAAATAGGGTCTACTGATATCTCAGTTTAATGATCTTTTTTGGGCTACGAATATCCTGTAGAAGCTAACATAGTGATTATATTTGTGAGTCCTCTAAAACATTGCTAAAACGGGGTCTCTTTGCTGTGTGGCTTCAAGGCCACATAGGTCGAGTGGAACTAGCGGGGAGTGGTCTACGGGACCACATGAGCCTCACTGGAGAACTAATTCCAGCTTTTCCCCACCACCAGCAAGATGGGATTTTCGGTTCCAATCTGAAGCCTTATCGTTTGGTTCTAATGATGGATCCCAGTTACATGGATCATCAGCTTCGTCGAATAGCAGAGAAAGTAGAAGCTGGGTAAGGGGGAACCATTTGACTAATCACTATTATAGTAGCCCATCTGACAACTCTCCCATTCAGCAATGGATCCCCTCTGCCATACAAGATATCAGCATTAATGATTATGATGCTTCGAGGCAAGGTACATAGATAAATTCTGCTTCTTCTCTTAGTCTCTTTCATGATTTTTTTGCTAATACTTAGTTGATGTATGCATCTTGAACCTCTCTGTACATGCTTAATTAGTTAAATGTGATGTTGAAGTTATTTTGTTTCATTAAACTTGTGTTGGCGGCTTGGTGCTCATTTCAAAATTTTAGAGCGTTGTAGTTGTATATTTGATTTCCATTAAGTTATGGAGTTGTGATTTGTAGTTTTTCATCTCTGGTCTACATATTTTTAGTAAAAGGAAGAAAAATAACTCTAATTCCATTGGTCATGTTTCAGTTTATATTTTTATTGCCTTTCTATTCCCATAAATATTTCCCAAATTGTATATGATGATTTTGTTACATATGCACATGCATTTTTTCGTAAAATTCAACAGCTCATACATACTGCATATGATTTTTTTTCCCTAGTTGCAAATGCTTTGACATCTTTGTTTCTCTCTTTGGTCTTGTTTTAGATATTACTCAAGAGTGAGCTTTTAATTCAGAGTTGCAGGTATAGCATACAGGAAAGTGTAAATCATCAAGAATGTCGAGTTTGATTGTGCTTGTGTCAGCTAGATGCTAATTAGATTAAAGATATAACTAGGCTATTACGTTTTACTCCTTATTATTTTAAGATATGAAAAATAACAAATTTTCTTGTAAATAGATATAGTGTTTTTACGTTTCCACTGGAACTATGTAGACATAATAAATTGTTTTTGTAACTGTAGCACTTTGCTTAGGACCTTAGGATTATAAAAAGATTAGGTGATAGATGTTAGCAACATTTTAAAATGCTAATTTGGCGTTTACAACTTTTGCTTTCATGGAATGCTCCAGAAAATCACTTAGAAAGGGTTTCCAAAAGCTATTCCATAATTTCATTTGGTAATAAGCCAAAAAGGGTTTTCAGAAGTTATGAAATATTTTTATAAACCTATCTAATTGCAATAAGGGTTTTTAAAAGGGGTTATTCCCTTAATATTACTAAATTGAACTGAATTTCCAAAAATGTGAGTACTTATAAAAATTGACAAAAAGGTGATTAACAAGGTCACATATTTGGAATTAGAAAACATGATGTCATTGTATTCGTTTTTCTTGTCACCGAGAATTTTCAGTCAAAATTTTCACGCCAATTACACCGCCACCGCCACAATGACATTGTCATAGTGACGCCTCCACAGTGACGCCTCCACAGTGACGCCGCCACAGTGACGCCGCCACAGTGAGCCGCCACAGTGACGTCGCCACTGACAGTCAGAAACACTGGCCACTATCTACACAGCCAGCTGCCAGACCCCAACCTTAGCCCCAACCTTCAGCACTGGCTAACCACCGCCGCACCACTGCCAGAAACGGCCGCCCCAGCCCCACAAGCTTAGGTCCCAGTCAAGCCCTGTTCCCTAACCCCCAGCCCCATCCAGCAACAACACATCTCAGTCCCACTGCACCTGAGTCACACAACATCCTAGCCCCCACAAACCACGTCATAGCTTTCGGCCTCAACACGAACCCAGATATGAAAATTAGATCTAAAAATTAGATCCGAAACTGTGGGCGTCGGAGGCGAGGCTACAACGAAGAGGTAGAGCGTCGATTAAGAATAACATATTTGGAGCTGGTGGCCGGGAGGCCGGCAGAGACGGCGACGTCAGATTCCAGCGGAGGCAGCGATTGGAGATAGAGCTGGTACAATCTGAAGGCGGTGGCAATGCGGTGGCGAACTGCGTCGCTGTGATGGACGACCGCAGAAGAGCGATGGGCGACTGCGGAAGAGCGATGGACGACTGCAGAGGTGCCATGGTAGACTGTGGAGCTGCGGAGAAAAAAGATGACTTGACTGCGGAAGTATGATGGTCTCATTCTCACGCTATGGAGAAGAGACAGAGTGAGGCTGGGTCATTTTTTGGAAAAAATAGAAAGTGGTAATATATTTGGAATAAGAAACTTATGGGGTAATATTAGTGCCATTTATTCTTTTTAAAAGCTGTGAGCAATTGTGGCAAGCCTATCTAATTGCAGTAATGCCGTAATGGTTTTTACTTTTTAAAGCTATGAGCTACATTCACAAGCCTATCTCTAGCACAGGTCGAAAGGGCTTGGTAGATTGTAACTTGTGGATCGTAAATCGGATCGTAAGACGTAGAATTAAAGCTACTATGTAATATTTATAAATAAAATATACATCTATATATTTATTTAAATTTCAAATTCTAGACTAGCTCACCCCCATATTAATTAATATTAATAATAATGATTTACTTTAACACTAAAATAAAATGCTCCACAACCAGATCGGAAGAGAGTATAAGACACTCCTCATAAATGTCTAGATACCAGGGGGTGATACTTTACAAAATTGCAAAGAGAGATACACATTTATACTAACTCGGGATCAACAAATCAATCTAAAATTTCCGCTGGCGTCTATTGGAGTTCTGCTTGTGTCCTTGCAATCCGTTGTCGACGCGTCGTAAGTTTTTCTTTTGTTTTCAATGTTTCGTTGTTTGTTGTACAAGATCTGACCTGACTTGGCGATTCAGTCTCTTGTGCAGATCGATGCGGTATGTCGATCCAACTTTTTTTTCTTCCAACTCGTAGATCTTTGATGCTGCCATATTTTCCGATTGCATCTATGATCCAGATCACCCAGTCACACCCTACTAATAAGATCGGACGATCTAACAAGTTGACATGCAATCTTAACAACCATGACACACAAAGCTGAAAATAATCTAAATTTCTATAATGATTTTTATCCCCATCAAACCAACAAGTAGTCAACTTGCCAGAGTGGCAGAAAGTGTTTCTAAAGGTGTTTGCGGTTCAGTCTCATGCACAGATTGGTGCAGTATGCCGATCTGGAATTTTTGCCTTCCAACTCGTTGATCTTTCAATCCTGCCATATTTTCTGATCATAGCTACAATCCAGACCGCCCAGCTACACCATACTCATAAGATACAATGATCTAACGAGTTGACTTGCGATCTTAATAACCATGACACATAAAGCTGCAAAATGCAAATAATCTAAATTTGTATAATGCATTTTACCCCCCCCCCCCCCCCCCCCCCCCCCATCTAACCAACAAGTAGTCATTTTGCCAGAGTGGCAGAAAGTGTTTCTAAAGGTATTTGTGAAGTCAGAAGAGGTATGCCATTAATGAAAACATGTATGCCTATCCTAGAGTGGGATCAATACATGTCTAGTGTCAATTTTAGTTGTGATTACTCAAGATGTGAGTGTCAGAGTCTGCATCAGAAGAGGTATGCCATTAATGAAAACATGTATACCTATCCTAGAGTGGGATTAATACATGTCCAGTGTCAATTTTAGTTGTGATTACTCAAGATGTGAGTGTCAGAGTCTGCATTAGTATCTTATTTTGAAATACTTATAATCCTTTAACACAGTCATTTTTTCCACTCATTTTATTAAAACTGCGATTTATACTTCCTCATCATTTGTTCTGAGATAAGTGTTTATTTTTGTGAAAACGTTCTCATGAGCCGTTTCGAATTGTTTAGTCTTAGTGAATATGCAAGTGCAACTGATATTTGATATCATGTTCATTAAAGTTGTTTTATTTCTACATTCAACTTTTATACGCGTATTTGGTAATGCTTCATGTTATCTGTTGAAATCTCAAGTGACGCTGATTTTTTTACATTTCCTGTTTCTATTGTGCAGTTTTGAGGGCTTTACCATTTTCACCAACAATGGAGGTACACTTCTGCACTCAGTAGTCCTCAGTTAATGAGTTACCTTTCTTATTCTTTTAATTATTTTTTTGGGGTACAAATATGAAATACCAACAAATTTATTACAGGTAACCTCGATTGCTAGGGATGGAAGAGTCTCAATTTCTTCCCGATCCGACAGTAGTGACAGTGAATCCATGACCAAATCACATTCTTCTCATCGTAACTTTCCAAGTCGTCGCTACTTCATGTCCAACCCAGTCCACCCACTCTCAATCCCGTCCGGAACACCTAAAAGAGGAGTGTTTGGTTTTTCTCAATTTCGTTCAACCACTCCACTCAGAGAAAAACACCGATTCAGCAGTGCTAGTTGCAGTGTTGACCTCTGGGAGGAGGCTACCGACCCGCCTGCTGAAACTGACGGGTTAACTAGTAGGTCTCTTAACGTATCTGACAGTCCCATCAAATGTGGTTTGTGTGATAGGTTTCTCTCACAGAGGTCTCCTTGGAGTTCCAAGCGAATCGTCCGAACTAGCGACATGCCAGTCGCCGGGGTCCTCTCGTGCCGTCATGTTTTCCATGCCGAATGTTTGGACCAAACGACACCTAAGGCCCGTAAGAGCGACCCTCCATGCCCGGTTTGTGCAAGGCTTGAAGAGGGAAGCTCACCGGGTCAACGTACAGGCTTCTTAAAGCTCTCCGGGCCATCTAAACCGTGGGGGTGTGCTCTTGCTGGCGACTGTGTTGAAGGTTCCCGCAATACCATTCTGTCACTTAACCGTAACCGCATTAGAAAGAGCCTGTCCTTGAAGGCCAATTTAGGTAAAGAGTTTCCAGGAAAGTTGAGGAAAACCGATAGCCCGTGTTCTTCGCAATGGTTTGTGGAGTCGATGGATCATGCAACCACTTGATCTTCAACTGAAGTAAGATGATTATGTGCTAGTGCCGACTGGTTTGATTTACTATATATTTAGGGCACTTATTGAATGAGTTGAAAATGACTGTAGGAGAAAATGGTGTTTGGATTTGATGTTGTTATCACCACCTTAGTCCTGATAAGTTTGTATTCTAATTATGGGGAATTGTTGTAAGATATTGCAAATGAAAACATGTAGTCAATATCGTGTAATCTTGTGTAATTTGTATTTTGGTATGTGCAATGAACATTGCTTTCTTTGATTTGATCACTGTGAAACCGGTCAGTTTTGACATTCTTCCTTTTCTTTCCCAATCCCATATCTCCTTAAGAATCTTTTTTTAACCCATGGATCTAAATAATGAATATCATCAATTTTGATAGTTTATTGTGCTTCGTATCATTTTTGATAAATTCATTGTGAAATTAGTGAAGGGATGATCGCAAATTGGGGTAAACATTACTTGTTTAGTGAAAAAAGGACAGGTATTAAGTTAATGAAGCTATTGGAGATCAAATTAGAAAGATTTAGCAATGGTTCAGTTCCTACTTCCTAGTAGCTAGTTCCCTCATTTTCTCTTCCCAAAATGGGATCCGAAGGGCAATTAGAAAGACACTACTGAGTGTCCAAACCTAGAGACTAGTAAGGATATTCCAATTAGAAATTGCCCTAAATAGGAGTAGAAATGTTTTGAAATTCCAAAATAGGAGTATCATGTTTTTTATTCCTTGAATAAGAGTAATCTGCCAAGTTAGGAAAAAATGTCATGTTTAAAAGCTTTGTAATGCCAAACTTGGCCAAAATTTACTGCTATTTAGGGAATAAAAAACATATACTTCTCTTTTGGAATTTCAAAACTTTTTTACTCCACTCTTTTTTGCATCTATTTCCTCCGTCCAGATTCATGTGGATCCGCAAGAAAGTTTGCATTCCTTAGACTTTTGCCGCGTACCGACTACCGACCATACAAAATCCTAGTCCCTCCATTGCCCGCTTGCCTCTACGGCGCCATCACTCTCTTTTCACTGCGGTTCAAAAACATGCTTATACAGTTACAAACCCTGCCAAAGACTCTAGCTTGGCATTCTTCTTTGACTCCAAGAGCTTCATCTAAGCCCCTTGAAGCCAATCCGGCACCCGTTCGCCTCGCCGCCCCACCCAGCTCTAACTCCGGCATCAAATTCCAGCAAAAGATTCTCTACCTCCGAGAGCTAAGAGTAAATCCAATGAAGGCCCTCAACAAGAACCCGGATTTACGATCTGTCCCTCTAGCTTCCCTAAAATCAGTAGAAAATTGCCTCTGCTCAATGGGTATCCAGCGTTCTGCCCTAGGCCGCATTCTTGACATGCACCCTAGTCTCCTCACCTCCGACCCTTACGCCGACATATACCCTATCTTCGATTTTCTCTTGAATGATGTCAGCATCCCCTTTCCCGACATCAGCCTGTCTATCGTGCGTTGCCCTAGGCTCTTGGTTTCCAGTTTGGAGACCCGATTGAGACCCACATTGCGGTTCTTGGAGGAGTTCGGGTTCGCAGGTCCATATAAGATCACCGCCCAGAACTCCATGTTGCTTGTTTCCAGTGTTGAGCTTACTCTGAAACCTAAAATTGAATACTTGATGGGATTAGGGTTCACTTACATTGAGGTTGTGAATATGGTTCTTAGGTGTCCTGGGCTGTTAACTCTTAGTATAGATAAGAATTATATGCCGAAAGTTGATTACTTTCTGAAGGAAATGAATGGAGATTTGGAGGAGCTCAAGGTCTTTCCTCAATTCTTTTCGTTTAGTTTGGAGCGTAAAATAAAGCCACGCCATAGGCTTTTACTGAAGTATGGATTCTCACTCTCATTGCTGGAAATGTTGAAGGTCAGTGATGGAGAATTCCGTGAGAGGGTATTAGATATGAAGTTGCAGCTGGTGGACAACTGACAGTTGTTGTAAGTCTTGTCTCTCATATGCTATTTTGAAGTCTGATAATTTTTCTTGATTTTATATATGGAGTTATAATAATGCTTGAATTGCTATGCTTGATGCGAGTATGATCGATGGACAAAATGTTGCAGCCAAGTCAATAGAATAAGACTAACCTCAAGAAATTGTAATAGTAGTAATATGCCAGAATACTATTGATTACCAAGTGCTCCATACTTTGTTTAGCAATAAGAAGAAAATGTGTTTCCAAATTACAAAAAGTATGAACAATGTTCACTCATGCAGATTTCTCTGTTTACAAAAACATTTGTTAGGCTATCATTACTTAGCACTAACTAAAAATACTCTGTAATAGTTAAAAACTGATGTAATGAGTGAATACGAGCTGGCCGTTGTTATTAATGATTTAATGGTATATCCTAATATCAGCTAGGGTGCACATAAGTAATGTTTCTCTCTCTAATGTTCTCTTAATAATAACCACATCAGTTGATAAAACAAGTCACTTCAGTTAGTTTATTGTTGCATTATTCCTTTCTTTTCTCAATTTTATTTCTCTAATCCGATAGAACAAGGGCCCGAATTCCATAACTTGTTTACTTATTTTGTATTTCCACATGAACTTACACTGTTAACTGCTTTTATAGTTTATACAATCAATTGACACTATAAATATGTCTTCCCACCATACCTAATTACATGAGATTTAGGTGATGGTGGTGGTGACATTTTCAAAGAGTAAACAATGGCTACACGATAAATGTAAAATGAAAAGAACATATCATTTGATTTTGCTTATAAAACATACTACAAGCAAATTATGCCTGTCACACCCCAAAGTGAGTTTACAAATGTCATTTTAAATTATCTAACGGGAACTGAGACACAACTAAAGTATCAAAGAAGTTTATATGATAGATTACTCACTAAAACATTTCATTATGCAATTTGCATGAACAGTTTCATTTCTTTTTCAGCTGTAAGCCTCTTTTGGTAGCTTTGCGATACTTCCCTGGCTCAATGCTATATCCGAAGTTACGTTAATAATGCTTTCACTGTTAAATGAGAAATTACATTTGATTCATTCTATTCAACCCTTTTTAATACAAAAATACAAAATAATACTCCCTCTGCCCATTAAGGTTTGCTAGTCTTCCTCTAAGGTTCGCCCGAATTACCAAATTGGTAAAAAAACAAGGTGGTTTACCAGATTGGTAAAAAAACTACCCGAGACATATTGGTAAAAAAAGAAGCCCCAGTGACAAATTGGTCAGTTTTTTTTGAGTGAGATTGTTTTGATCTCCAACTTTAGAATTTCCGACATTTCATATTCTAAGGTATTGTAAAATTGACATTTTCAACCCTTCTACTTTCATTTTGTCATCAAAAGTGGAGGACTAAAAATGTCAACGGTCGTGCTTGATAATAGCGGATTCCGTTAGCTTTTATAACTAACCTCTTTCATTAGCGTTTGAAATAAAATGTTAGTAACTTAACGATCATTGAGCTAGCAGACAACTGCTAGTATGAGACACGATCATTGACATTTTTGGACCTTCCCTTTGATGACAAAATCAAAGTAAAAGGATTGCAAATGTGAAATGTCAATTTTACAATATTTAGAATACGAAATGTCGCGAATTCTGAAGTCGAAGATCAAAAGTTTATCACGCAAAAAAATGACCAATTTGTCACTAGGGCTTCTTTTTTACCAATATGTCTCAAGTTTTTTTTACCAACCTGTCAAACGACCCTCTTTTTTTACCAATTTGGTAATTTGGCCAGGTTGATTGATGATTGAGTTAATTCCTTCTTCACAATATTAATTATTATTAATAAATTACATCATAATTAAATTATTATTAATTAATTACCTCATATAGGAAATTCTCCATCCCTAGTGACAATCACGTATTCCCAGTCTAGTAGCAGCTTGTTCACTGAAGTCTTGTACTAATATCATACTATGCCAGGTAAAGCTTCCTCAGTCAATTCCTCTTTAGCTCTTATAACATCACCTTGAACTACTCATCTCGTACGAGCTTCACATTGTCGGTGCAAGCTTTGTAATAGGATGATCATTTTAAGCACCTTAGCAGAATGATAAAAATATGCGAAGAACATGGTCTAGTCCTATCACCGTAAAAATTGAAGATTTTGCAGTACATGAAGTGGACTTCTTGGGAGCAATTATTGGAAAATCAAAAGTCCGACTTCAATCACATATCATCAAAAAGATTGCAGATTTTGATGATAATCCTTTGAAGGAAAAGAAGGGTCTCAGATCGTGGCTGGGAATATTAAATTATGCTCGATCTTATATTCCTAATTTAGGAACATTCCTTGGATCCCTCTACTCAAAACTAAGTCCCCATGGAGTCAAAAGGATGAAAACTTTAGATTGGGATTTAGTTAGGAAGGTCAAAGCAGCTGTGCAGCAATTGCCCGGTATGGTTACATAATTCTTGAATGGAGACCAAACAAATATGCCCCCAAAAGTTCGGAGAATGTTTGTGCCTATGCAAACGACAAATTTCCTACGATTAAATCTACCATAGATGCCGAAATTCAAGCATGCATAAGCACTCTGGAGAGCCTTACAATCCATTACCTTGACCAAAAGGAGATAACCCTAAGAACCGATTGTGAAGCCATAATAAACTATTAAAATAAAATGGCTCAGAATAAACCATCTAGGGTTGGGTGGATTAATTTCACTGGGGAATTAGAGATCAAATTAACTTTGAACATATTAATGGTAAGGATAATGTCCTTGTTGATTCTTTATCTAGGGCCTCTAGGCTTGTAAAATACACAGGATACAAGATCATCATCAGTAGGAAGCCATAGCTCTATCTCACCAAGAAGCAGAGATAGGAGGGTACGAGGTCAACAAAGGGAAAGCTTTAGATGATGGAGTACTAGGAACACCAGTCTCCAGTATAATCCAAATATCCCAAACTATCCTCAAAGAGTAAGGGAATATTGGCAATGGACAAGAATCTACCGAGAAGAATTCCCGAGGTTAATGCAAAGAGATGAAGAAATCGGAGCCCATATGTTTTTATTACAAGAAGAACAATTGGAGATCACGACCAACGCTCTCCGAGATCTGCGAGCTATACTTGAATTGCGTGTCCTCACATGCAGACACTTCTTAGGAGGAGATAACTAGGTATGACTCACTCCCAATGTCCAACGAACAATCTAGACATGGTGCAGTATTGTGTGAAGAAATTGAGCAGCTGCTTGAGGAAGTCAGCTAAACAAGATGAGATCACTCGAGTAAGGTTTGGAAGATCCACATCATAAAGTCAATAAACACGTGTCACCTTTCTACGAGATAATGTGTCAGTGTGTTTTTCGACCGACGGTTTCTTAGCCACACCTTTATCGTTTTGTGTGTTTAGTGCGGCATTTAGCCGCCTTTTACTGTTTTCTTTTGAAAATAATACGTTCCTTTTGTAAAAGCATTGACGATGGGGCCTCATGTGTACCCGGATGCTTACTTCTTATGCGTTATTCTCTTTTTCTTTGCCTAATTAAGACACTTGTTTCTGAGAGTTTCAGACACATCAGAGATAACCTGAAAGTCTAATTCTCTCTCTATGTTTGTAAGTCTCAAATTTTTGCAAGTAAGTAATAAAGAGCAGTTGAATTCAAATTATTCTTATTTTTTGAGCCGATCCCTACTTTATTCTAACTTTGTGAGTCGTTCCCTACTTGGCGTCAGAGCTATAATTTCTTAAATCTATGGCTGAGTAGATTTCTAATTTCAAATTCTGGGGAGAGTTCTGTTTCTTACCAATTTACCATTCACCAGCTAATATCAATTTCTGTCGGAATAATTTTCTTCTGTTCTTTCATAACATTAAATTGAGGAAATCTTCACCACTGGTTTACCAATTTTACTTTTGATTGATCATCCTCCTTATTTCCAAAACCTTAGAGTATTTTGGTTAATATTATCTTTATTACGTGGAAACACAAAGAAGGTTATATACAAAAGGGCATAACAGTCCATATAGTACTCGCAGTGAGGTAAGTCCATGAAGATAGCGGTGGTATATTATGCATGAGTTGAACCTTCTTAGTGTAACCTGTTTATGAGATAATATTAGGGACTTGTAATTCTGTAACTGATTTGAGGAATAATCAGAATAATCTTTTAAAAGGGGTCATTGTTTCCTTGATTTATGTTTTCGGAAGGACTGAAGAAAGCTATTTAGAACTGGTGTTAACGTTCTCAAACGAGAATTTGGAAAGTTTTAAACTTGAAATACTCAACTTGATATTTACCTCCGAAGGAAACCTAGTTCATAAAACATCCAAGTTTGTGAGTTGGACGCTCACAAAATCCAGTTCCGTATATAAAGAAGCCCTTGAAAATACCGAATCACTTGAATCCCCAGCAGTAGGATTTTTCCGACCTAGTGAAGCCAAAATCACTACTGTCACTTTATCAGTCCTTTTTAAACAAAACAACACCTTGATCCAACTTCTGGTTAAATTATCAGAAAAAGTTGAGTCTATTAGTGAAAGGCTGCAGCACTTAAAGGCCAGGGTAGATTCTCAAAAAGGAATTGAGCAAATTCCTAAAGATCCGCGTGAATCAGTTGCCTCACTTACAAAGAAGCTTGCGTGATCGATCCAGAAGCAGAACTTGCGATCTCCCAAAGAAGACGAGCCAACCTCGTCCCAGCAGAAGTCCTGTATGAAGACGGATGGACAAGATCTCGACAAAGAGTCTATCATCAGTACATGGAAGATGAATTCTATGTAAGACCGACGAGAGACAGACAGAGGTTTCATTACGAAACCAGCTACAGCAGGATATGTAGAGAAGGTTAGCAGCATATCCACACCGAACTCATCATGATCAGAACCCATGCTCTCAAAATGTAAGAATAAAGTAGGGACGGCTCAAGAAGTAAGAATAGTTTGAGCTTAACTGCTCTTTATTACTTGCGGAAATTTGAGACTTACAAACTTAGAGAGAGAATTAGACTTTCGGATTATCTCTAGTGTGTCTGAAACTCTCAGAAACAACTGCCTTATATAAGCAAAGGAAAAGAGAATAATTGCGTAAGAAGTAAGCATCCGGGTACACATGGGGCCCCCATCGTCAATACTTTTACAAAGGAACACATTATTTTCAAAAAGAAAACTGTAAAAGGCGGCTAAGTGCCGCATTGAACACATAGAATGACAAAGAAAGCTAAGAAACTGTCTGTCGAAAAACACTGACACGTTATCTCGTAGAAAGGTGACACATGTTTATTCTGTTGATCATCCAAAGTTTACGCAAGTGATCCCATCTTGATTAGCTGATAATGGTCTTCAGAGATGGTGAATGCTGGGTGAATGCCGACTTCTTCAACTAGCTGCTCAATTTCTTCACACAATACTGCACCATGCTTGACTTGTTCGTTGAAGGTTGGGAGTAGGTCTGATCAATAGTTATCTCCTCCCGAGAAGTGTCTGCATGTGAGGACACGCAATTCGAGTATAGCTCGTAGATCTCGGAGAGCATTGATCGTATCTCTAATTGTTCTTCTTGTGATAAGAACATATGGGCTCTGATTTTTTCATCTCTTTGCAATGACCTCGGGAATTCTTCTCGGTAGATTCTTGTCTATTGCCAATATTCCTTGACTCTTTGAGGATAGTTTGGGATTCTTGATTGTATTGGGGACTGGTGCTCCTAGTACTCCATCTTCTAAAGCTTTTGCCCTTTGTTGAGCTCGTACCCTCCTATCTGTGCTTCTTTGTGAGATAGAGCCATGGCTTCCTCATAAGGATGATCTTCTTCCTGGCATCCTCTATATTTTCACGAGGGGGGTAAAGCCGTGTTGTTTAACCCCGAATGAAATTTTCAAAGGAAAGTTAAAGTCTAGATGGTATGATCCTTTCGTAGTGAGCCAAGTCTTTCCATAACGTACTGTTGAAATTGACCACCCAAAGAAAGGCCGTTTCAAAATAAACGACCACCATCTCAAGAAATACTACGGGAACCGTTAGAGCGCGAACGTGAGGTGACCTTTGTCACGAATTTAGATAATTGAGTTTTTTTTGTTGCGTCGGGCAAACGAAGTTAAAAATAGCGCTTCTAGGGAGGCAACCCGAGTTTCTTTTTGCATTATAAACTTAGTATTTATTGCTTTAAGAAAACTCCAGAAAATCACAAAATATAAAAAAGAATAAGGACTCACCTAAACTTGCATCCTATTTATCAATTGAAGAAACACACATGATCATGAAATTATGCAATAAATGAGCTTTTTGTTATAGGATGAAATCTGTCTTGGAAAAGAGCCCTTTTTTGAAAAATAGTGTTACTCTGATCCAAAAGTAGTTTGTGAATTTGACTGGTAAATTGTGTGACACAGAATATAAACACTATAAAAATGTTATGGAAAGTGACATAACATTTTGGATTGGAACAACTAAATTAGGAAAGTTGGCAATGCAAATTTTTAGGGACTAAAAGTGGATGTGGCATCTTTACACATTATTGCAAGTGTTTGAAAAGCTAACTAACAATCGATCACATTGTTGTGTTTATCAACTTCGCAAATCTGGTGTTGTTCTGTGCCCCCATCATTCCACATTAAGGATGTAATCACCCTTATGCCTATTTTAATTTGGGTTTCCATTACAGCATTCAAAATGCTTTGTAGTGGTGAATTTGTTTTCAGTTGCAGTGCATGTTTTAGCGGTACTGAGCGGTTGAACTTGTTTAGTGTTTACACAGAACTGTACAAGCAGCTTTTTGTACTAGACTAACGAAGAGGTTTCATGTTCAGTGATAAGAGAGGATCTAAGAACCGAGGAGCAATGCCCCCTCCAAGGGCAGGGCAGTTGTGAGGCAAGCGGACTGCGAGGAAGCAAGTATATCAGTCATCAAATCACGGAAAGAGATTGTTGAAGGGGAAATGTGATGTGAATCACTCGAAGGTCGTGGTATTGTGTATAAGATGTGATGAGACCCTATTTTGCCATGGTCTAAACTTGAAGGGGTCGCAGACATGTCCCAAAATAAATTGGGGGCGGAGTCCAAACATTGAGTTATCAAAAAAAGGGAAAAAATCAAATGGGGTTCAATTTTTAATATATAAGCAGTGCCTCTACAGTTGGAGCATGTGCGCCCACTTTCTTATTTAGGTCTACTCAATGGTTGTATTTGTTATTTAAAGTCATTCATATGTTAAGTTTGACAATATTTTTTAAATTAAAATTATGAAAAGCTACAGGAGTATACTTGTGACAAAATAAATAATGATTAGAACTGTATAAGGTAACTGTCTCTACTTGTGCTGATAACAACGAAAATCATGCCTTTTGAGATGGTGTTTTTGGTGAGAACCAATTTTGGAACATAAGTGTAGGAATTGTGTACTTGAAAACATATGAATGAGTTAGCCTGTATACGAGAGGTATAGACTATAGAAGACGATGCCTTGTGTTAATGAGAACCTGCTTCATTGGAATTGAAGATTCATATTAGTAATTGTGTGTGCACAAGCTCCCACTGGTTATGTAATTTATCGGCTCCAATGGAATGGTGGCATGCCGTCTAAATTACTTGTTGGTATGAAATGGTAATGCTGAGTTCTGTCAAAGCAATAGTTGATGTTGATGGTCGTTTAATCAATTTGAGAGGTTATGTTTTAAATGTTAGGATGAGATTCATCATTATAGACGACAATATGCTATTTGTTCATAGTGTGTATTCAATAAATCATATCCGGAATAGTTTAAATTTGATATGAATAGTATTGTTTGGTACCGGCCCATCCCGTTTTTTCGGTATTGGCATCTTCTTGGTACTTGAACCGTGTTTGAATGGGGGCGGGCTTCGGGCTTGAATGTTGGGGCTCGGTTCAAGCCTAACAGTTTGATTTAAAAAAAGTAATAATTAATGGTCGGGTATCGACCCGCTCTTGATCTGGGACCTGTACTGTTTGGTATTGGACCAAATTGGGTCGGTATCATACTTCAATTATTTAGAACTCGGACCGGACAGGCTCGGGCCCGAACCGCACTGGCCTGGTTCCACCCCTATGTGAAATTAGTTGTGGACCTGGTTTGGTCCCAGTTCGGTCCTGATTCCGGGTCCGGTATCAGTCGATCCCAGTTCAACGAAAATGGAGCCTCATACCGATTCGGGTTGGTACAGTCCCGGGAACCCGGACATTTCCAGGCTGATCTCGGGTCGGGTCAAGCGCTTCCATGATTTTTGAATTACCTAATTTATACTCCCTCCGTCCCAAAATGAACTTCACAGTCACTATTTACATGGTTAACTTAAATTAATCTTAATCTTATCTTTTATATATCAATTTTTTATCAAATTTATATTTTTTTATCAGCCTTTGTAGCGGTTTTAATGTAGTTTCTCAATATGTAAATTTTATTTACTAAAAGTAATCTGAGTATGAACAGGGATCAAGTTGCTTTATCGTCAGTCAAGCATCGTAATCTGAAATGGAAAGTTAATTTTGGGACAGAGGTAGTACAAGAAATGGTAGGCATTAAAAATGAAATAGAGATTTATTTGAAATATGAATTACAATTGAGGTTAGAGAATAATTTAAAACATCAAAATATTTCCTAATCGTAAGATTCCCCGCCAATGTTGGTTGTTGTTTCCTCCATTAAGTGGTGGTTGGGGACGATGCAAAGTTCTTGAGTTCTATGTCGAGCCTTCAACCGATCGTGGAAGCAAATGAGCGTTTCAAGAGATTGTGCCTTCAATCTCGTTCTATAATCCATTGGGACGTTGTCGACTTCGCTAAATTCTTGTTCTACAGCTATCGTTAAAATCGACATTGACAACACTTGTTTCGCCATCTTTGATAACATCAGGAACATTCCTTCTTTCTCCTTCCACCATTAAAGGTAGCTCGTTAATCGAGCTTTGTGCAATATCAGAAGTTGATTTACTTTCCTTCAAAAGATTACCAATTGTAGATTCAAAAAGTGATTTTCTTTTAGATGAAGAAGCAGTTGGTTTCGGGGGAGGGGATACATTACCATAATGTGCATGAAACTCATTAAATAAATTGTGAGATAATTATTAACCTCGTTGAATTGCGCTTAATGATATGTGGGGTTATCTTCATACATAGGCAAGTCAGCGTACAAACAAGTATAATAGTACTCTAAACACGTTTGATAACTAGCAAGTTTGAAATGAGGGTCAAGAACGAAGGCAAAAGCATATATAGGCGGAATTAATGAAGGCATAATATTTATAAACTTTTCTTTCATGAAATCACAAAAATAATGAATATAAGGGGCTTGGAAAAATTCTTTAAAAGCAGCGGTGAGATTAACAACTTCAACAAAAATAGGTATGTCGTAGGTGTATAAACATGAGAAAAAGTTGCGTTATGAAAATAAACCAAAACAGTGCAAATTTTTTATCATCAATAAAATGTGTACTCACACCCAAATAATACAAATGATAATACGTATCCTCCCATGCAATTACAAATACTGACACGCCGCCGATTAAAGTTTGAGAAAAAAATAAATTTATCGTTTTCCAAAAAGTATCGTCTTATAACTTCTTTTTTAATTGTTTTGTGACTATAATTTCGAAATTGCGGATTTAAAGCACCTTGAGCATAAGTGTAACACCCCCATTTTTCCCACCCAAATAAAATCACATTTTTAAATGAAACCATCTTTACTATTAAACATATTTAGAGTACAACGGAAGTCTTTAAGGGAAAAACAGGTGCGTCACCGCCACACTCAACCTATACATGATTGAGTGCACAGGCTATCCACCATAAGTTCAAATAACAATGAAATAGGTCTTAGGACAAAGTTTATGAATTACAAATTTAAACAACGATAATTAATCAAACGTGTGCAACTAGCGGAACACTCGGGCAGCAAGTACATCAATCTTCATAATCATAATCATCTGTACAATAGAGCAAAGAGAAGAAGACAAAAGAGACAAAAATTAGCTTTAGAGCTAAGTAAGATTCCACCCGAACCCGTAAAATAATATAATTTGGAAAATAGGTTTTGTATATGTATATATAGAAAAGTACCCTCTCAAATTTTCCAAAATGACTTAATGCCTCAAAATAATTTCCTCAATAGAAAATATCATTCTTCAATTCCTCCAAAAATAATACTTTAGATTTCTTTTAAGAGTGGACGAAACTCAAGATTCCTCGAGCCCAACGAGTCGTTGTTATTTACGACTCATCCCGGAATTCCGGCTCCCACCGACCACCAATTGGAAGCTGAATTTCTACCTTAAGTGTGCACACCCTCTAAAAGGGATTCCAAGCCCTCCGAGTAGTAAGAAACCCAAGTAGGCAGGATGTTTTCTACCACCTACTCACAAGGGACATTATCCAGGGGTAAATTAGGTAACTACTACTACAACCACCAAAGGACCTTTGGTCCTCAAATAAAAGCCCGAGATGTCTACCGGAGCATGTCATTGCCGGACTGGTTACCGACCCAAATAAATTTCACCAAAAGTAGTAGTAGTCCTAATCACCCACGCCTCGTGTTTCTCTCGAGACGTAAAAATTTATTATGAAAAACTTTAAGTTTTTCCCAAAGTCATTCTTGTCACACTTTCCAAAAATATACTTTGTAATAAATATCAATCCACCAATATTCTTTAATAAAAAGAATATACATTTAATAATCCATAATAGATAATAATCCACCAATATCCATACATTCAAAATATTCATTCCATGTCAAACAAATAGTTTCCAATTCATAAATAATTCACATAGTTCAAATATTGCATACATATAAGTACGAGATAAAACATTTTTGGTTGACATATAACTTACCTTAGATTGGGATAATCCCCTTAATAAAATCTCTAGCTTTTGGTTCACTTGAATCCTCCTTCTAATATATATCAAAATTCTAAATCAATAACTACTCTATTATTTTTTGTTATTTCCTATCTATCCAACCTTTAATTATTTTAATTTCATAATTCCTTCTTTAAATATAACTATTAAGTTAGATTCATAAACCTTATTTAAAATGTTAATTTCCAGACCAACCTTATTATTTTCTTTAATCATACTAATCCCTCCATAATTTACTTTAATTTATTTGATTAATTAGTTAACTAGTCTAATTATATTAACTACATAATAATTTCATTATTTCAAATTTAAATAACCAATTTCAGTTCAAAATTCAGTTTACATAATTTATATAATTTATTTAATAAACCTTTTAATAATAATTTGACGTAAACAATAATTCGAAATAATAATCATTAATGATAATCTAATCTCAATAACAACTTTAATTAGTACAATAGTTTATTTATACTAACTAACCCAATTAAATTAATTAATTCAATCCTCCAGTTTTATTTATTTGATTTACTAATTTAATTGAACTAACTAAATCAAATAAATAAGTTTAATTAGATTAATATAGCTAAATACATTAATCTAATTCAATTAAGGCCAATAATCAAATTCTAATTTCGTTTTAATTTTCTATTTTTAATATAAAGTCCATAAATATTACCACGTCCATAATTTAACTAATTTATCCATTAAACTATTTGATTTAGTTAAACTAGTCCAATGAAGTCAATTAACTAAATTATTAAGTACACATTACTTAATTAATTTGTTTATATTAATCAACTAATTTTTATGAGTTCAAATAGTTTAATAATTTATATGGAGTCCAAATCAATAATAATCAAGGATAATAATTATTAATTTAATCACACTAATTTAATTAGTCCACTAATTTAATAATTTATTTATTAAGTCCAAATATAGTCATTCATTTACGCTAGCTATCCCAACTTTATTTTTTTTCCTTATTTTATTCCAAACATCATTTTAGTCCAGAATATTATTTCCAATCTTAGTGATTTTATTTATTACACCATCATTATTCAAATTTTCTTATTTAATTACTTTACTAATTTTATATGGCTCAATTAAATTAAATAGCTTAAGAATTGACTTTATAAATTTATAACCGTCCATAACTATATTTTGGGTCTATATTTGACCTAGGTTGTCCAGATATTTATTTTAGAATTATTTCCCTTATTTATTCATTTAATTTTATATATCTATTAACCGGTTTAATTACAATTAAATATACTAATCATAATTTTTATTAAATATAAATGGTCCCAAATGTCCTAGTTATAGACCTGTACAAAAACGGGTTCGGGCCGGGCTCGGGCCCGCAAAAACGGGCCTAACCCTATGTCC